CAGGAAGAAAACGTTTTCAAAAGGCGCTATTATTGGAGGGTGCTCCAGAGGCTGACATCCCGGGTCAAGGCCAGTGCTGTATCTTTCGCCGCAGACATAAAACACCACCTGCCTGCAGACACCCGTGTCCAAGTGGCAGATGACTGAGGATACGAAGGAGGAATTCTGCAGAAGGGTGGCAATGGTCACGCAAAATAGACGGTATTAACTTGAAAAGACTCTACAGGACTGCCTGAGGACGCCCTGGGGGTGGAGGACGCCCCGGAGAAGTGCCTAGAAGGGAAAGCAAAGCTCTCGCTGAGCCATGTCGTGGGCACACGCATCCAAACAGCCATCTGCTGGGCATGGCATCAGCCCAGTGTAGGAGGCCTGGGTCCGCACCACTGGCGGAGGCCCGGGGCCAGGGAACAAGGCCTTCAAGCACCCCCAAGCTGCAGCCTCCTCCCCACAAGTCCACTCTGTTTCAGCAGGTGAGGGCAGGAGGAAAGGTTAGACATCCCGGTGAATTATGGAGAAACTGCAAAGGACCGTGCCTCTCCATGTGAGAACAAATAAGGCCCCCAGAGGTGGAAGGGCTAGAAAACAAGTTCAGAGAAGGAGAGCATGGGCCACATCTCTCAACAGCAGAAAAGCCTTTCTTAGGAAGAAGCTGAACACAGACGCTAGGACTGACCAGATGAGAGGCTCCCTTTGAGGACCACATGCCCAGCAGAGTAACAGCAACCCCGTGGACGAGCCAGGCCTGCACGCCAGCTGCTCAGGCCGCACCTTGCGCAAAGGTTTCCCGTTAACTGGGTCAAATGGTGGCTGAAGTCCAGTGCGCAAGTCCTGAGCCAGGAAAGAGTACCTTTGGGGGAAGCCACCTTTCCATAGTCCATACAAAGGTATCTTGTATGTTAGAAGTGGGAGCAGAAAGAGGGGTGGCCAGAGAAACACAAACCTAAGGAAAAACAGTGATGTACCCAAATGGGGAGTGGCTACAGACTAACAGAAGAGTCACCTACTCGGGGCCACAGTAACAGCTCGCGTGCTGCAGTGCTGACTATGGCCAGGGGCCCGCCAGCGTGTGACAGGCACTCACTCCCATTCATTTTAGTTACAGCAGTTAGAAGGGAGGTGGGTGCTAGCAAAGCAAGTCTATAAGGCTGAACTAAAAAGGGGACGGAGCAAGTCTGGCGAAAATAAAACAACAGGAAAGAAAACCCAAGCTGCAGCCCTAAAATGAGACAGGCTTTCTATGTGGAAACCACCGGGAATGCTGCCCTGCATGGGGTCTTGGAGAATGGATGGCTCCACCCTATTTTTTCTTTTTTTTTTTTTATCCTCATCCGAGGACATTTTTCCATTTTTTGTACAGATAGAGTGGGAGGGAGAGAGAGGAAGGGAGAGAGAGAGAGAAACATCGACGTGAAAGGGACACATCGAGTGGCTGCCACCCGCACGACCAACCAGGGCCGGGGACAAACTGCAACCGAGGTACGTGCCCTTAGCGGGAACCGAACCCGGGTCTCTCGGGACCGCAGGCGGACGCTCTAACCGCTGAGCCAAACCGGCCAGGGCGCCACCCTATTTTTTCCACGACTCAACTCTCCTCTCCTCCAGGTGATCATGCTGCCATCAGAATAACCAGACTCCGCTTCATGTGCCTCCGCTGTTTTGGGGGAGTCAAGTGCTCTCGTGTGAACCAGGTCAGGCAGCACAGTGAGGTGGAAAAGCCAAAGACTTGGGATCACAGGACCTCAGCTAAAATTCCGAATTTTACCACCTATTCTCTGGATGGCCATGGGCAAGAACTCTCTCTGGACCCCAGCTGCTAAATCTATTAAATGAAACCCATTATCCCCATTTTACAGGTGATAAAACTGAAGAAGTGAAGTGACTTACACAATTGATAAGCACTAGCCTGGCTCCATCGGGCTCACACTGGGTCAGAGTCACCGCCGGGCTGCTTCTGTTCTAAGCTCCCCAGCTGTGAGTTATCTCAAATGAATAAATACAAGAGCACGTGTAACAAATAAAAGCTTAAATGTCTGATGACAAATGCACCTTTCAGTCTGTGCAAGGGAAAATGAGGTTGACAACAGATCAAAGTAAAATTCTTTCCAGGTGATCCAAATTGCCCAAATGTTTTTGGGTGTGTATTTTTGAGCATCTCTCATAAATGCATTGTTTACAAATGCTAATAAATAACTTCCCACAATATCAACCAAAAACTAAGTACACTCTAGGGCTTAGAGATCATTAATAACACAGTTTTAATTTACATAGTCAAAGTCCCCATTAACTTAAAAAGTGAATTCTTCCTACAGTGGAACTGTCTTGATTAAACATGTTTAGGCTAACATTGTACAAAATCCAGAAACGTTCTGGGCCCCTTAAATAACGGAATTTCGAGGAAGCCCCTGCTGTCAGTGAGCTGCTAGATACCTTTTTTGCACCAACTCCTTGTAAATTGAACAAACTAAAAAAGATGCTAACATTCACAGGCAATACTGAAGTGCAGGAGAATATGTTTAAGCACCAAGACTTAGAGAACAGAGCCCTCCGTGGGGGGAGGAGGGTCTTTTATTCCTAAGGTCACTTTCAGAGACCAGATGACCAGGGTAAGAAAAGGATATCCAGCATCTTTAAAAATAAGAGGCTATATAATTAAAAAGCGGTACGACAATAATAATCACATAAATTATTCTATAGTACTTAAAAGCAAACTAGCATAAAGTTATAAAAATTTTGGTATAATTGTTTTGATCTCAAAAAAATCCAACAAAAAAACCAAAATTATTTAAGGTATCGGTTTTTTTATTTTCTAACTCTTGAGATTTCACCAAAAATTTTAAAATATAATTAAAGAGGAATTCAACTAAGAACAAGTTCCTATTTAATAAGGTAGAAACCAAGCTGCTCATAACGCAAAATTAGGAAGAATTTGAAAGTTCTGATCATACGCATACATCAAATCTTAAGAGTAGTTATGAAAAATGAGCCTGTATGTGTAGAAAAAACATCTGTAGAAATACACATTAAATGTTACCGTGGTTATTGCTGAGGAGTGAGATTAGAAATGAAACATATATTGCTGTCATTTTCAGGAAATACTAAGAATACATAAGGATATGGACAATACAATGCTAGTTAGAACAGAAAGATGCAGGTTGATTTTATTTCCACCAGTTTGTTACATATGAGATCAGTGTGGAAAACCAAGATCATCAACAAAATCAAAATCCATGTCCTCAAAATCTCATGATCCAGGAGTAGAGGTAAATACATGTTCCAACAACTAAGTATAAGGCAGAATTCAAAAGGTTCTGTAATACTAACAAATAAATCCAGAATCATATAAGGGCAAGAGAGAAGTTAATTCTAGCTGAATGGAATTAGGGGAGCCTAGACAGAGAGGGCCACTCCATTAGGCTTTAAAGTACAGAGAGATTTTGGCAAGTGAATGATGGGAAACAAAAAGACCAGCTTATACTGAGCTGTCACTATGCACCAGGTGTTGTGAGAAGCACTTTCATTCATTCATTCAGTCCTCATATTAGCCCCATTAACCCTGCTTTACAAACCAGGAAGCCGAAGCCTGCTCAAGCTCACGCAACCAGCAGGTAGAAGCACCCAGCTGAAACCCAACCTTGCGCTCCTCATCCCTGCTCTGCTGCCCCTCTAGATAGAGAAAACATTGGCACCTACAGGCCAAGGAAAAATGGTGCACAAGGTCACGGAAGAAGAAACATAAATGTATGAAGGCCTCTATATTAAGTGCTTTTTCTATGAAACGTTATTTTTCCTGTGAAATGGTCACTATCACATCTATTTTAATGATGAAAAAACTAAGGTTTAGATACGTCAAACAGCCAGTAAGTAGCAGAACAGAAATGTAAACCAGGTCTGAGTCCAATTTCAGGCCAAGCCGGACAGATAGAAGGCTTTATGAGTGGTATCTCATTTAAGCCCCCAAACATCTATTATTTTTTCTCCTTTTACAGATAAGAAACTGAAAAATCACACATGGTAAGTTACTTCGCCAAGGTTACAGAACTGGTAAAAGGTGGAACCAAAGTTTAACCTAGAAGCTGAACTTCAGAGCCACGATTCCAATCCTATGGATAAACTGCCATAAACAGTAAACAAGAGCCGAGCAAGGGAGAACTTCAACTGTCGCACTCGGACTGCCTCAGTCATGCAAACTCACTTAAGACTGTTGCTGTGGAAATCATGGTCAAATTATGTTTTCAAAATAAAATCTTTCAACAGACATATCAAAAGTAGATTCTTGGCACATAAAGTATAATAAGACACAGAACACCTTACCTAAATAGCTTTTCAAATAAAATTAACCATTGTTTCAATCTGGTGTATTTAATTTCCCTTAGAAGGTCGTGTGTACTTATTCAGCAGGCACTCAATTGTGGTAACCCTACTAAACTGTCAAGCCCCAACCAGGCGCTGTAACACTTTGCTCAGCATAAACTACATCAGATTTGCCCGTTATTATATTGGTCCACAGATTTCTTTACATAGTGGTGTTTAAATGGCAAGTAGAGCAACTGATAATTGAACCTACCGTCTCAAAGCAAAACCGGAAGGAAGGGAGGAGAATGGGGGAAAGTCACCGACTTGAAACATGTATTAACATTTCATGTTGCCTCTTGGCTGAAACGCACAATACCTTCTACCAAACATACCCCATGCTAACCAGCCAGAGGCCTACAAAACAGGTTCAGCATTCCCCAGCGACAAGGAGAGTCTGACTCATCCTAGGAGCCAGCATCAATTCTTAATGAGTCCAGAGCCCCCGGGTCCTTTCTACTTCTTTTCCTGCCAGTGAATCGCGTTCCCCCTTTCCCCGCACTTTTCCTGTCCCAGATTCCTGAGGACCTTCCCAGCCCACGTCCTAAGAATCCCGCCAGCCTTGCAGCAGGAGGCAGGCACGCAGGCTTCGGCAGCTGTCTCCCTTCCTCCCTCCAGTGTCTCCCCGGGGCTTGGACGTCCCCACTCACCAGGTGCAGGGCCAAGGGCAGCAGCAGCAGGAACAGCCACAGGTAGAGGTGGCAGCTGTTGGTGAACTTGCTGTGTTCCGGGTCGTGGTACCAGCCCCCGGTGAGCGCGGCCCACACGCCCTGCCGGAGCAGCTGCAGCACCTGGGACACCATGCCGGCTGCGCCCCGGGGGCTGCGCCCCGCGCTGCCCGCTGCCGCCCAGGCCCCCGGCGCGCTCCGCTCTAACAGCCGGGCCGCCGGGCCGCGCCCCCGCCGCCGCCGCCGCCGCCGCCGCCCCCTCCCTCGGCCCCTCCGCTGAAGCGCGAGCCGCCTTTCTGCCGGGACCCGCGAACCGCGGCGCCGGAGCCGCCCGCTGCCGCCGGGCAGGTGAGCGCCATGTCCGAGGGAGGAAGGATTCTCCCATGGTGCTCCGCGCGGCTGCTCGGAGGATGCGCCAGAGGCTCCGCCCAGCGCCCGCCCAGGGGGGTGAGAGGGGCTCGTGAGTCCCTCGGGCGTCTCTTCCTTTGCCTCTGCTTGCTCCCTGCTCCTTTTCGCCCCATCCTCCTGTTAGGGGATGTGAAAGGCTTAAAAATCAAAGATGTTCTCATGCATAAGACACAAACTAGCACATGCTCCTTTGCCTTTTTCCTTTTTTGCCGCCTGCACCAAAATATTTATGTAACTCAGATCCCATCACAGGTCACTCAATGTAATTTCTTCCCTGACCACTGCCTGCTCATTTTCATTCTCCTTAAGGTAGCACTCACCCCCGACGCTCTGCTGTTCTAAGCTCTACCTGCGCCTTGGCACCGACCCTTTTACCCCTTGATCTTTTCTCCTCCTCCTCCCCTTGTCCAACTTGGCAGGTAAGGACGATAACCACTTTTCTGGAATCATTTCAGGGGCCTCAGTCACGCTATTTGTCTTTTTATATTTCCTAGGATGTAATCCCAGGCACCAACTGACTGTTTAGAATATTAGTCTAAGTCTTTCTATACTGTTTAAGGAGGAAGACCCACCAGAAGGTATCATTGAACTAATCATCTTTAAGCTTTTCTAGTATTTTATAATTGATGATAGATAAATTTCAAATTCTCTTTCTGAAAGCAGGTTTTGGACAAAAATAGATAAAATGAGCTCATCTTCTTTAGAATGTGGCCAGGAAGCCCTCATTATTGGTAACTGATAAAGTAAGGATGAGTTTCACATTCTTGAATAGAGAAGGTTTTGGAAAGGGAATTTGTCTTCCTTAGAAACAAGCCGAGGAAGCCCTATGCGACTTAGGGCCTGTGGAGAAGGACACGGATTAGAAGGCTCCAAGATCCCGAACCTGCCTTTCCTGCATCATTCCTGCCTCGTGTGTCTCAAATACAATCTCTGCTCTGATATGCGCACTGGTATATGCCCTGGCTGTGCACTGGTCTGCAGCACCGTGTGCCCATGGCTGCCTTGGCCTGGCCCAGTGGAGGTATGCCAGACTTCCTAGGCTGAAGAAAAGGAGGGGATTCCATTCTGAGGGGCTGGTGTGGGCGTGAAAGTCCACTGGCTCACAGCAAAGTCTTACACCAGTGTGTGTTCTTTCAGCCTTAACCACTCTTTACTCTGCATTCGTCTGTAAGAATGACTAATCAAAATGTACTAATGCTGCATTGGAAAAGTAATTTTCTCAAAGACACAGAGTGTGACTGTTTTTATGTGGCTTCAATGCTTGAAACCTACCAGGTGCTCTATAAACATTTAATGAATGTGTGTATCAAGCAGTCAACGCCACCAAAAGGGCCCACACTAAAGAACCCACATGGGTTGAGGAGGGATGGCCATGCAGCGGGTCTGTCCCTACACTGGAGGGGTGCCCTGATTCATCCGTACCTCATTCATCCAATATTTACTGAGCACCTTCTGTGTGCCAGGCATTTTCTGAAGACCAAGAAAGCAAATATAAATTAAATATTCCCTATCGTGAAAGAGTTCACAGACTGCAAAAGGAAACAGGCAAATAAAAACTTGCCATAAAAGGTGCTGTGTGCTAAGATAGGATTAGGTATGTGCATACTGTTCACCGAGAGCATGTGACTGCAGTTGATGCGAGAGCTGGATTCAGGCACGTGGAAGCTTTTTACCCACCCCACCCTCCTAGGACTGTATGTATGTTCAGCACACCATTCCTGCACTAAGAATCACAACAAGAGCACAGTTTTGAGAGAGCAGTGTGTTACTGAGACCATCTGGACTGATACATGACCGAACCTCATAAATTTCTCACAGGTGGATGCAGAGATCTACTTGTCCTGTGGTGCTCGAGATAAGCCTCAGATGTAAGTTTCCCTGCTTGTTAATCCTGCCACCTGCCATTCCGTAGTGGTCTGCCTCTTTCTTCAGTCCCTCCTGCCCTCCGTGTTTGGAGAGTAGTTTCAACTTTCCTTCCAGAAACTCCAAGGCTGTGAACCAACATACACAGATGTGTGTAAAAGCAGAGGCATTGAAGAGGTCAATGATGGCGGGGTGATGACAGTGAGACCCAGGACCATGCATTAGCTCTCTAGCCAGATAATGTGGATACTCAGCAGGCAGATGTATGCGAAAAAAGAGAAACATGGCAATTCGGGGAAAATACCAGTATAGTCGAACGTGCTAGAAGGTAGGACTGAGAAGGGAGAGGATGGAACAGTAGGAAACAGAATAACAGCTAAGCAGACATCAGTTCTGTGGGTCATATGAAGTCTTCAGATGTTGTCCTGGGCAAGGGACAGGCATAGAAGGCTCTGAGCATGGGTGTGATGTGAGCACCTGTGCAGGGGGGCAGCTGAATACCTGAACCATCAGGAACGGACACGATGCTGCGGGATTAAATAGAACTTAGAAACCAATTCAATGTCGACATCAAAGAATAAGCTAACTTTCCATGTTTGGTTGGGGTGAATATGCTGTAAAATTAATCAAGGTATGGAATGTAGGCAGTTTAGCAGAAAAGAATGGTTACATGGAACCTGAGTTTCCTGGGGACTTTTGGTGGGGCAGGAGGAGTGTGGTTCTGGAGCTTAATTAGGAGGGGTGTCTGAAAGAGAGACAGACTTGATAAGAACCAGCATAAAGTTCCATGAGAGGGAATGATATTCCTGAGAAAGAATGTGGAATAAGGAGACAAAGGGACTGTGGATGACAAGGATTAAAGGCACACGCAGAAGAAAAAGAGGAAGAGAGTAGGAGACTAGGTGAGCCTATTATTACCAACTAACCCTACAGGTAAAGAACTATTCAAGAAGAAAAGGGTCAATAGGGTCAAGTGCCATGGAAGACCCCAACCACAAAGATGAAAGTTGTTGTTAGAAGTGACCTGTGCAGCCTCAAGGGTTGAAGACGGTGCAGTGGGCAGACGCCCAGCTGCACTGTATTCAAAAGAGTGAACACGTAGTGAAGAAGGAGAAGCAGCCATACCCTTGAATCAAGTAGGGTCCATCCAGGACAAGAGAGTAGCTCTGGCTTTTAAACAGAGATCATTTTACATGGGAAAGAGGAAAGCTGAGAAGGTAAACAAAATATGATGAACCACCCAGAGATTAGCAAAGGAGAAGCAAGACTTCTAGGACTAGAGAAACAGCGAGAGGGGGTAGTGGGTGTTGTCCGAACCGGGAAGCCAAGGATTGGCAGCGGGTGACCGCGCCGCACTGGGCAGCCTGGAGAGAGTGGCAGCCGGAAGGACATGCAGCTGCCATAGAAGATTCCACAGAAGGGAGATGGCGCGGGAGCACATGTGAATACCCCGACTTCTTTTCTCTAGCCTTCCAATCTCCTACCTACCGTCCCCTCCATTGGCCAAGCCTGCCTGGAAGCTATAGAGCAAGGAAGCCTGGGAGATGTAGTTGCCTGGAGTACCTATCAGAGCAGGCGAAGGGGAAGCCAACGTGATTTATATAAAATGTAAATCCAACCTGGTTACCTCTTTTTAAAATTCTTTCCATGACACTCAGAAAAAAACAAACAAAAAGCATTTGAGAGCCCACCCTAGCCTTACCTCCATCTAACCCCTTTAACCTCATCCCTGGAAATCTAAACTACTTATACTAGATGGGCTAAAGTGGGTTTGCAGTTGCTCATATAGAAAATAATACAATAATGAATCAATAATAATACAAGAACAAACTCTGTCCTTCGTGTAGTCACAACTGTAAACCTACTTTTGCCCCACCCAGTATTTCTCTTCACATCCCATGTTGCTTCATGCCTTCCTGCTTTTCTCAGCAAGTAGACACACACACATGCACACACACACACACACACACACGCACACGCACACACACACACACACACACACACGGGATTTCAACTGGGATTATAATTGAATCTACTAGTCAATTTTGAGTGAAATGACATCTTTTCAGTGTTGTCCTTTTCATTGATGAAGATGTAACCCTTCATTTATTAAGATCTCCCAATAATATTTTTTAAATCCTCATCCGAGGACATGTTTTTATTGATTTGAGAGAGAGTGAAACATTGATGTGAAAGAGAAACATCTATCGGTTGCCTCCCATATGCACCTTGATCAGGGATTGAACCCAAGACATAGGTATGTGCCCTAACCTGTAATTGAACCCGCAGTCTTTTGGTGTATGGGGTGATTCACCAACCAACTGAACCACCTGGTAACATTTTATAGTTTTGTATGTATAACTTTTACACATTATTTACTGACACCCAGTGTTGGCCATGATCTAACTGGCTAGGGATTAGGGAAATAATGCAAAAATTGAAATATCATGGAACCAGAAATAATTGGGATTAGAACACTGAAATATTATGGGAACTGGAACAGCACTCCTTCATGGCCAGAGGCATAATCAGGCTTCATTTGGTAGAGTCTGCTTGCTGAGTAAATGTGTCCATCAGACCTAATGTGGGCAATATGGTTGGAGAGAAGACAGTGACTCAGCTATGTTTGAGTAACCACAACATAAGCAGTGGTTGGGTGGAGTCAGATGACCTTGCAGAGCAGAAAATCCCTGATGTACTTGGCTCCCCAAGGCTTCATTCACTACTTCCTCCTGTTAACTACAACTCTACATGGACACAAGCATCCTTAAGATTGCACCAGCAGAGGATGAAGAGCAGACCCTGAGAACAAACAGAAGTAGTCTAGAGCCCTGCACAGGAAGGGCTGATGAGAGTGTCCATGCCAGCCTTTACCTTGGCATGGCTGCCCACCGAAACGAGTGAGGAGGTAACTTTGCTGCTCAGGATCCATGTTGCACAAGGAGAGCCCTCATCTGCCAATCTGAGTTTGTCCATGGGCCCCAGTGAGTAAGTAGCTGGGCTGCAGACCCATCATTGCTCACTAACTATTCTAGATGAAATACTCTTTGGACTCCCAGGGGGCTCTGAGTGTGGGCAAGTGGAAGAAGTGGT